AATCAGAAACATGAAGCTGAAGAGGAAACAAAAAGTTTAGGTTATAATTATTCAGATTTAATGACATTACATAAATGTCATCTTACATGTAAGATAACTTCAATGTTTAATTGGGATTATAAATGTCCAGCTCATTTCCTAAAGATGAGGTCAGATTTCTTCATGAGGCACTCAGAGGCTGCTTCCTGTATGTATCTAAATAATGATTAGATAAGAGTTTAAACAGGAGTAAATGAAAAACATTTCATAGAACATGAAGTCCTGACATGTCACTGTGATGCTTCCAGATATAAAACATGCAGGGCAGTTATTCTGGTGAATGTCACGATGATGAAATGCTTAAAGACTAAACGAACATTCATGTTCACCACATTGTGTCATTCTGCTTTCTTGTAATCAGTAATTCGAGCTGCTCTGTGATATCGACCTCATCAGCTAGAAACAAATTTGATTTTTAATTAAAAAATTACAGTTGGTTGCTCCATCTGGATTGTGCTGTGGAAGTTGAGGTGAAAATGTTGCAAATTTGTTCTCCATATGTTTATGTAGGCCTGTCTAAATAAGCAAACAAATTAATCAGATGATCAATTAAAACAAGTTCAATCCATTTTCTCTCTTTGTAACAAAACCTGGATGATAAAAATCTTCAGTCTGCTGCTTTGGCTTGACTCTGGCCTTTTTATTTCATTCCAGGCCGACGTTTATGTGATTGTATTTTATTATTCTTACATTTCCTGCTGCCTGAGGATCAGCAGGGAGGGGCTCGGTTTCACCCCATGCTGAGGATAAGGGGTCAGATGCAGTCTGCATTAACTGCCTGGGCCGGTGAGGTTTGCTGGTAGAGAGCTTGTACAGCTTTAGCTTTATTTTACTCAGGTTAGACCCAGACTGTATTTACATCCAGTTGTCCAGTCATGTCTTGTAAATCGGTGTAAGAATGGAAGAATCTTTAGGAGTGTGTTGTTTCAGTGTTGTTGTGTTGAGTGCGTTTCTTCCCTTAGCGGTTCTCCTGTCTCCCTCTGTCAGAATCCAAACTGCTCAGCCTGATTGATGAACCCTTCCTGTCACTCTAGATCTACATGCTGGATGGAAAACAGTGACAGTTTCTTCTGTGTAAACCCACACAGCTTTTATCTTTTGATCTCAAACAATATATTTCACATTTACCCGGTGAGGGTACTGCAAATAAATTCCAACTGAAACTGGAATTTATTTGTAGTAAATTCTAGTTTCAATTGATGAGGACTGAGTCAACGTTGTACGGGGAGAGCCTTACTTAAAACATATTGATGCGTACATTTCCAAACAATCTCAAGTGGTTAGACACTTTTTGGCACAGCTATCGTTTTATTCTCTATACGACAGCTGTGTGTATTTGTCCCACTGGCCCATGCAGACAGAAGATCTAGTCTTTTTTGTTAGCAAGAGAAAGTCTGGTTGTCATGTCGGTGGCAATTCGAGTAACCCACATGCAAGAACACAGACAGGAGAACCAATAAAGTTTAACAGGTTTATTATGAGCAGGAGGGAAACTGGTTCAAGCGGCGGGCAGCAGCACCAAGAAAAAAAAAGGGAGATGATGAGTTTGAGGTTGTAGGAAATTAGTGTTGTTTCAGAGAGGAAAAGAGGAACTTACGGGTGTAGTAGTATATGTGAAACCTTTGGAGGGAGCTAGAGGTTCTGGGTTTCCGTTTCTTTGGTTACGGAGGCGTTTGCCAGGAGGCGTTTGCCAGGAGACGTCGAGTCCTTGACAGAAGCAAGGAGCAGCAGCTTGATTTGAGCTGGTGTGGTGGCGTTGGGGGACGGACAGGTCGGCCAGAGCTTGGAGAGCGACTGAGCGGACGGTTTGCCAATTTGAGTGAGGTTTGGAGAAGGATTGAACTGTCAGATTGCAGTGGAGACTCGGGCATCTGGCGAGTGACTATCGCCAGCGTCATGAGGGGCGAACGGGGAACGGAGGTCCAGATCCAGATACTCAGGTAGGTCCTACAAGAACAGAGATCAGAGAATCAGATTACTCGGGGTTCCAAGCAAAGGCGACACAGCAATCAACGAGTGGACGAGGCCAAGAGAGCACCATCACTAGTCAACAATCTGGTGTCGAAGTGTTGGCAAACCGCTTCTCTTAAGCCGCAGGTAAGGACGTGATTGCCGACCGGTGTGTAGATGACGTCAAAGGTCCGTAACATTTAAATGTAAGCATTTAAGGAGCTGGCAAGTTTACATTGTAAAAGTTCAAAGAACAATATTCATGGTTATATTGTTTCATTACCATAGCAACAATCTGAATCTATGAGTGTCATGAGTGGTGGAGGTGAGGTGAGTGAGAACACAGGCAGGACCCAGATTGTAGCTGAAAAGTAGATATTTAATGAAGATAATCAGCTCAAACAGTCCAGATGACAGGCGGCACGGCAGAGAGGAAGCTAAGGCTCAGCACCAGTAGCAACTGTATCTAAAACCTGACTCACGAGAGCCAACGCCGACACAGGACTTTTAGTTCGACTGTGATGACCAACTAACTCACGACCGTGACATACCAACGACTTACAAACGACTAGGACCCGACAAGAGACAAAGACAACAGGTGGGGTTAAATACACAGGGAGACAATCTCGGGGAAACAAGGAACAGGTGACACTAATCAACGGGTAGACAGGACAACACAGAGACTTCTACAGAGCACGGACCTAATTAAACACAGAAAACCCAAAATAAACACACAGAACTCAAATCACGACAATGAGTTTAATCTTTGACATTGTTTGTTTCCAAATACAAATTAGTAAACTGCAGTTATAACTGATTGCTTTTTAGGTTGGCCAATTAAACTACTCCCACTTGGCCAGGTTTCACTAAATGTAACACAGAAGCTGTTAGAGGTGCTGATGATTTTAGCAGTCAAATTCCTCAGTCAAATGCCGCTCAAGGCCTCTTACAGCCATGATGAGTTAAATCCGCTGCACTGCGCGCAGATATGCGCAATAAACGGGAGGTTTAATGTAATACTGCTAATGTGGCTTTAGTAGCTCTTCCATTTTGTGTCTGTTAAGTTTTTAATAAGGGCCACATAAACTGTTTTGACTGCTGGAGTTTTAAGGGACAAGTTTCTCAGATCTCCTCGCGGCCACATGCATTATTAACTCTGGCTGACTAAGTGGACAAAGCATTTGGTATGGTTTGATGCTTCGTGTAACCGGAAAAACAATAATAGAAATAATAAAATAATATAAAACCAGGGTGATGCGTGACTACAAGGCGAGCACGAAAGCTTCTCACCGGGCTGAACCTGCATGATGGGGGGCGAGGGGGGGTCATGACCCCCCTCAATCTTGGAAAAGTCTAGAATTGTACCCCCCAAAGAAATCATGAAAGAAACCCTTGTATTTAAACAATAGCAATATAAAAAAGGCAATAGAAACAAAGAACAAAGTAAATCTGCTAAGTAAATTCAGCTAATAAAAATTTTTTATAAATTTTTAGGTCCCCCCACTACTGTTAGAACAATGGTTAAGTCCAAAGTGTAGGAGGAGGAGGAGCAACACAGGCTCCGTTAAAGGCGCTGAAGTGAAGCGCTAGCTGTTGCTGTGGCTATGCAGCACAAACAAAAAAACACATGTAAGTAAACACTTTAAGCAAAAGACATGTAACACGTTTTATTTACTTTCACTGCTCATTAGGAAGAAACACATTGACAATAAAAATCATTCCACAATTCGTTATTTCATTACTTTGGCTGAATCATGATAAACTGCCACCTTATGCCTTGGAAATCAAAACTAGCAAAACTGGCTACATTGCTTTCATACACTTGGCTCCTATTTCTGTCAAAGGTAGCCAATATTTTAATTATATTTAACTCTCTAGCTCTCACTTTAATAAGAAGAGTTTGAAACGGGAGGGAGCGGCTGAGCGTCACCACTAGCCGACAGCTCAGTATGGGAGCCGAGAGCAGAGGGGCTATTGCAGCTGACAGGAAAACAAAAATAAAGTATCTCTTTATTTCTTATCTTCAACGTAGAGCCTTTAAAACTACAAATTCAAATCTGAATATTTTTCTAGAAAACTCTGGTGCTAACCTTTAAGTTTAAGTTATGATACTTACCAAATATTAAATTCCTACATATTTATAGGTTCTCAGCCCCCCCACCAAAAAAGTTTAAAACAACTTAAATTCTAATTTAAGTAACATGTATTGAGAACCACTGCAATAAATCAATATTTATGTGGAATTTTATTACTTATTAAAACTTATTTTAGTCAGAGCCTTAAATTTTTGTAAAGGTGTAGCAGAGAATAGATCTGTGACTCTGAACCAAACTATATCTAAGCAACATTTGAATCTTAGTTTGACTTCTATGGGTCTCAACAGGTTGTTTACTGAGAAAAACTTTTGTCATTCATTGCTACTTACTAGTCATTTTTGATGGCGCAGCTTGAACACACACACACACACACAAAATGTTCCTGTTTATGGTACCCCCCAATAATGAGATGGGATTTACGCCCTTGGTTAGCGCTGGTTCGTTAACCACTAACGCACTGACCAACCAGGACCACATTCATAAACTTTACAGCATAGACAGATACAGAGCCATACGCTGGGTAGCGTGTTGAGATGTAAACGCCCCACATAATTCTTTGTTCACAAAGTTAAATCATTCTCACTGCTCACTCAACGCACACGTCTGAATTCGTGACTACAAGTTATTCCTGTGGTTCACATAGAGCTGCGCAACCAGAGCTAAATGCAGTGGGGTTTAAACTCTTAACTCAATGCAGAGTTCTGCAAAGAAACATAATTCCTCACAGGGGGTTGATGTTAATATCCATACATGTCAGCCTGTGTCCAGTTTGAGTGAAAGGAGGTGCAAGCGATCCGTGCTGAGGTAAACTAGAGATCAAACAGTGGCAGCGCGTGAGGCAACGTTTATAATACACTGGGGGAAACCCTGAGCTAACTAGCAACTAACTAGCAGCCTGTGGGGGACAGCTCATAAATCGACTATATCTTGCAAAAATCAAAGTGTTTTTTTTTTTTATCTGTAACTTTGCTAAACCTCAGTAGGTGTAATTCGCTCCATGATGTTTCTCCGGTTGATCTTTACTGTAACCTTTCTGTTTTTACTGTTTGCAGGTGGTTCCACCCCAACATCACTGGAATCGAGGCAGAGCAGGTCTTGTTGACCCGGGGAGTTCACGGCAGTTTCCTGGCCCGGCCCAGCAAGAGCAATCCTGGGGATTTTACCCTGTCTGTCAGGTAACTTCAACCAGCCCTTGTAGTGCATTCACCAGCAGCTTCAGCTTTGACCTCACAGTTCTCACCTGTGAGTAAGCAAAAATTTAGTTTTTTAAATTTTGATATTTGACAACTGAAATAGTCACATTCACAGAAGGATTTAGGCCTGATCTAGGAATACTAAAGGTATGTAAATATGTGAACCAGTCAATAAATCCGGCTCATATATAGTTTAAATATCGTCTATTGGCAGCATTCTGAGGACGGTTAGCTTTGCAACATTATCTGTGTTTCCATTGACCATAAAACTGCAAATTGGAATTAGAAAAATAATTTGCTTTATGGAAATGCACCAATTTAAATGCATCACAGTTCATAAAATGTTCCCTTTGTTGATCCAACGTGTTGAAACAATTACTCTGCTGTAAAATCAGACTACAGTTTCCCCAAAAGGCTGCATAAGTAGCCACTCCTGTTGTCTCCTCTGATTGGATTATGAGCGCTAGCGCCACCATGGCTGATTTATGAATATAACTGTTTACATTTGTCACTGCCATGTTTTTTAATGATATATTCTGTGAACAAACTTATTCACAAGTTATTTTAATTAAATTTCTTATTTAACGAAAACACCGCCATTGTGGTTTTTTCAACATTAGCCAAATATCGACAAAATCTCACACACATTGGTAATGGAGATTGCCAATGTGTGAAGGCTACTGTTTCTCTGCCTTCAGATGCTTTGTATCTAAAGAAAATGGCAATTTTTTTATTCCAGGTTTAAAAAATAACATGCCAATTAAGAAGCAACTAAACGGTTGAAATAACTGGGCTTCAGCTTCCCTGGCCTTCAACTATGTGAAGTCATTCCAGATGTCTTTCTTCACCACCTTATTTGCCTCTATGAAGGTTTATTCTGTTGGGTTTACTGTGTATTGCTTAATATGTAAATTATGTAATCTGAACTTTACATAAATTCAGATTATGTAAAGTTCATAATTGTAGGAAAACCCACCCTCCAACCTTCATCTGGGTGTAAATGAGACTAAAAGTCCAGATGATCCTGAAGACACAGAGCTCACATGTAAGCTACTCAATTCCCAGAAAACAATTCCCAGTTGGTCCATCAGACACAATTCCTATAAATTCCTCCCTGTGGGTCATCAGTAGAGGCCTGGTGAATAGATGACACTTAATCTGAAGTTCTGTGTGTGGGTGTGTGTGCCCGCACGCGTGTGTGTATTTCTAGGAACATATTGGATAACTCAGTTGGAATGTGTGATGTGGTAACTTTCTCAAAGAAAAGTGAAATCTTTTATTTTGGTTAGCAGGGTGCAGTGACTCAAGTTTTGGTGTGAAAATGAATGTCTTTATCACTCATGCCGTAATTCCACACACAGCAGTTCTCTATGACTTTAATTAAGAGCCCTGGTGGTTAGTTGTGTGCGTGTGTGTAAGGCGACTCAGCTCCTCATGCTGTGGCGATAACAGAGAGCAGGAAATCAACTGATACAGAGGAGAAAGTCTGAAGAGTCACTCTTCCTGGACAGCAGAAGCGTTTGAGCCTTGGATGGCTTGGCGCTCGGCCACGCCATCTGAAGGATGGAAGGAAGCCCAGACGTTTCTCTGTGTCTCTGTGACGGAGCTGACCGGGTCACATGGCCTGTGGGTGTGAAGGAAGGAAGAACCTGAAGAGAGTGAGAAAAAGACCTCCAGTTCAGTCAGAAAGGGAGGGAGATTTTAGATGTTCAGAGTGGAAGATCTGGCCAGGCTCTCACTTTTAGACATGCGGTTTGCAGCTTTGTGATACTTGGTGTCCTAAATAACCGCCGGATGGTTAGTGGTGTGAGTTTATGACAGATTTAAACCACAATGCACTCTCTGAGGTCAAATGACCAATGTTCAGCCTCTCCCCCCTCACTGCAGAAACAAAGAAAGGAGGATAAAGCAGAAATTGTTTTAAACAGAGTTATATAACAGAATGAAAACACACAATCCTCTGTTTGGAGATGGAGAGCTCAGTTTGTGAGCCAAGGCATGTCCTGTTGCTCAGTTTCAGTATTTCTCAACTGGTTAGTAACACTAACCAGTTGCAGGTTCAATCACTGACCTAGATAATCGTTCAGACACAGATACATCCTGGTGTGCTAGCAGGGTGGTCCTCACATTTTAAATCAAAATATGACTTTACATCTCTCCAACTGTTAATGTATTGGACAAGAAATAAACTCATTAGTGTGATTACTTTTTATGGAGCACTGCATGAATAAGGGGAACAAAACATCAGACTTTAGAGGTGCTCTGCAGGGTTTTCCCCAGAAAACTTGCTAAGCCCGGTGGTCGGGGTGCCGAGGTGGTCCACCGCATTTTTGTATTAAAAGATTCAAATGATCCGATTCAAATGCAACCTAATGTCCAGGCCGCATTTCAGAGGTGCGTTGAGCGAGCGGTGAGAATGATTTATATTTGTGAACAAAGAATTTTGTGTGGCTTTTCCATCTCAACACACCCAGTGCCTGGCTCTGCCTGCAATGATAAAGTTCATCCATGTGTTCCCGGTTGGCCGGTGTATTAGTTAATGAACTAGCGCTA